ATCATTATTCAGCAACAACAACCACATCAACAACAACGGCATCATCCAGTAGCAACAATCTCAACAACAGCATCATTATTCGGCAACCACAATCAACAACCACATCAACAACAACAACATCATCATCATTTAGCAACAACAATCAACAAAAACATCAGTCACAATAAGAAAATCAGTCGAGCGGTAGAAACTTCATCAACAACTCTATAAATCTCAGCTTCTGTATCAACAAAGACAACGCCGTACACACAAATAACATCAATAACATCAACTACAACTAACCAATGACGCCAACATTGTAACAGCTACAGTAACACTAATAACAACAACAATTTTAACTACTACAACGAACGCAACTTCAAACAATTCACAGCAAAAAATCTCTAAAACCATTTTGTAACATCAGCAACTACATTAACAATAACATCAATAACAATAATAACAACAGCAACAATCAACAACAGCAGTATCATCATCATCATCAACAACTACAACAACAACAATAATAATAACAAAAGCGCAAACAAAACAGCAACAACAAAAAAAAATTTGCCAACAAAACTACAACACCAACAACAACACCAACAACATCAATAAAAGTGCCAGCAAAAAAACAGCAGCAGCAACAAAACAACATCATTAAAGGAGCCAACAAAACAACAACAAAACATCAATAGGAAAGCATTAATATCGGCATCGATCCTTGCTCTAATTGAAACTTTTGCACGCGTATGAATAACAAGCCACCATTCTTACATTTCCTTTTCCCTCACTCCCACCTCCTTTATACTCTTTTTTAGCTCTCTTTCTCTCTATTTCTATATTTTTTCTTTTTTTCTTTCCCTCTCCCTCTCTCATCCCCTCTCTCTCTCTCTTCCCCTCCCTCTCTCTTTCTCTCTCTCTTTTTTTCTCTCTCTCTACTTTTCCTCTTTCTCGTTTCCTTCCTTTCTTTCTTCCTTATATTTAGACCTCCTTCTTTTCATGGAATTCTTATTTTTTTTCTAAAATCTCTTTACAAGAATTAATTTTTAAGAACCAGCGCATACTTTTCTTGCTTTATTTTCTGGTTTGTTTTTAGCTTATTTGTTTGTTCGTCAGTTTTCTTTCAGTTTGTGGCTAGACAATTTTATCCAGATAATATATATGCGTGTGTGCGTGTGTGTATTTGTGAGTGTGTGTGTGTGTGTGTATGTATAAGTGTGTGAGAGTTTGTGTGTGTGTAAGTGTGTGATCTTACTGATATGGATGTGTCTGAGTGTGTTTGTGCCTTTCTGTGTATAGTTGGAGGATTTTGCAAATATACAAATAACCTTTTCTTGCCGATTTTAAAAATGAAAAAAGTGTTTTCATGTATTTCAACGGTTTTTGTATTAGAACACAATCAGTCCTGTATAAAATCCACCTGATTTGTATGCAGTTATGTGCTGTGTACATCTTTGAAGATGCACTTGAATTGCTTGTGTGCGGGTGTTATTTTTATCATCACTATCAAAATTATTATTATTTATATTATTATTATTATAATAATTATTATTATTATCGTCATCATTGTCGTCATCGTCATCACTGACGTTATTATTATTATCATCCCATGGAATGATGAATAACGAAGTAGTCTTCCATAGAAGCCTGCTTGAACTGAAAGTTCATCCTTTATACGCCATTTTGTTTTGGGTCCATCAAAGAACTGCAAACATTAAACCATCTCGTGCACACAATGCTGGCGGGCAGACAAACAGGCAAACGTATGAACATGCGAACATGTGGACAAACAAAAACAAACCCGTGAACATGTAGGCAAAGAACTACGAACACAACACGCAGACAAACGAATAGGAAACATCCATTCGTGTGAACGAACGAACAAATTTACAAACAAACATAAAAATTTATAATTAAACACACATTAATCAACATCAAAATATGGATACTAAACTAGGCTTTATCCTTATTTAAAAATCAATTTATTATATCAATTAAATAATAATAATTATTAACAAGTAAATAACTTTTGCAAAGTTTTTAAAAGGTTTCAAAATTAAATATTAATTCAAAAAACTTGAAACTATGCTAACTGTATTAAGATACAAAAGGCATTTGAAAAAAATCAACATAAGAAAATGAGTATTTTTAATGGAAAATTTCAGCATAGAATTTCCATAAAAAGCATTGCATGACACAGTTAAGATGAGTTCGTACTGCTGCTGACTTCATATGGTCTCGTTCTTCGGAAGCACTAATCTACTAAGACATCTCATCTCATTCTTATAAAAATAAATTCTACTTCAACTTTTGAAATTGAAAAATTTTTTCTATTTGCTCCTTTTTTAAAATGCAGAACTATTCATATTTAATACTTCGATAACTTGATGTAATTCACTTTTCTGCCTCGGGAAATTTGCGCTCTAAAGTTACAAAATAGCCACTCATTTACATCCGTATATTCAGGCAAAATTACAAAAAAGTAACACAAAATGTTTGACGGAGACATAATTTCTTGAATGTCGCAGCATGCAATCCTCGGCCAAAATTTGGAACTACCAGCCTTCCAGTCGAACTGAAGTGTAGTAGTAACATGAAGAGTGGTCACGATGAATTCAAGAAGCGTCTCAAACGCCATTGATTTGACAGCCCAGAGACAAGCCAGCACAAGGAGGGCTACGTGTATATCAGTACTGCGATACAATACAACCCCAACAATGCATAACACAACATGCCAATCCAACAAACTAAACCAGCTTGACATCAACGCATTCGATTCATTGATAAGAAAGCTGGCTGACATATTTTTAAAATATGACTTAAATTATCAATAACTAAACTAGTTATAGCAATTCTTTCCCATCTGGTTGATTCTCTGGGTGACATACTGCCGCACGTCCAGCATTTATTTAAACTTGCAGTCACCTCACCTACTACCTACTTACCTACCAGCCTACCTACCTACCTACCCGATTCTGAATGAACTTTGACCTGACGACATTTTGAAACGAGGCATCAACTCGTCCATATCAACTTGTTAATAGTTTTATTTCTGCTACTAACATTCTTTCTATCTTGTGATACATTTTCTAATTTTTTGAAGAAAAATTGATCCAACAAACATTTCTCGGGCTTGCACAAAATGGGCACAAGTGACAGATTTTATATCGGTGTGTAATAAATTTACTTGAAAGACTAAATTTAAATCAAGATTTAAAAATTGTTTTAGGAACAAGAAATCATTTATAGAACAAGAAATCAATTGTAAATGCTTATCACAGGCTTGCACGATTCAGTTCGTCAATAAAAAAACCCAACCTATCTCACATAGAATGAAAAATATTCTAAGCAGCAACATAAACCTGCTGAATCATCAAATTTATATTATTTGAAAATTTGAAAAATAAAATTTTATTCCGGATAAGAAGATGAAACTTGTGATTCTCAACATTCGCACCAGCACAGATATTCAATGTAACAACATTTAATCCTGCAGGTACTTTATTCATATCTAATACATGAAATACATGCATGTGTGTGTATTATTGTGTGCGCGTGCGCGTGTATTATTGTGTTTATTTGTGTGTGTGTGTGTAGGCGCGCGTGTGTGTGTATTTTTGACACCTAAATGGCAGAGAAAAAATTTGGCAGGTAAAAATAATTTTGTTGTCACGTCTGCTTCCTATGAATTGACACCAAGTTTGAGGATTCAAACTAAAAAGTTTTGGCTTTTAGCTACGGATTACTAGGTGGGTGAATGAATGAGTAGATGGATAAATGAATGAATGAATGATTGAACGAACGGATGAACAAACAAACAAACGAACTAATGAACGAATGAATAAAAGAATAAAATAAATAAAGAAATGAATGATTGAATGAGTGTATGAATGGTGTTTCCTGCTTGCCGATAGGTTAGACAATGATTTGCTGGAATATTCTGACAGCCAAATTATTCGATCCATCATGGAAAAATGCCATTTTTTTAATTATAATTCTTCCAAATATATTTTTAAATAATCTCACAAAAGCATTTATTCAAATAAATATAATTTAACAAAAATCAACCACACCACCATCCTATTTCATTTTAAAATAACAGTTTCAATAATATAATGGAAGATGTGTGATGATTGCACTTATGTTAAGACACGCGCGCACACACACACTCATAAAATTATCGTTAGTAGTTAAAAAGTTACGTTATAAATAGTTGAAGAAATGACATTACATAACATTACAAACAGATTTTAAATTTCAAAATTTTCTTTTTAGTATTTCTCAGATATATCAGCAATACACATTCCCACGTTGCATGTTGAAGGTGTGGCTCTCCTTGCATTCGAACGCGGTCACACAGCAGCAGTGCCAAGCACACACGGCATTCATATTTGCAATTATTACCAAAAAGAAACGTAAAAAACATACCGTGCATTACGCAGGATCACAATTACACACACAAACACACACATAAACACACACACACGCACAACACACACACGAACAACACACATAAACACAAAAACGCACACACGCATATGTAAGTGTATATATTAATAATAGTGTAATGATTGATTAAATGTGTAAAATTCCCATACATGTTTAAGATAACAACATACACCACACACACACATACACACACCACACACGCAAGCACACACGAAGTTGTTTACACTGCAGTGAAGAAACTCATTCCTTCCACAATGGTCCTCCCATACATTCCGTCCGCAGACCTTTCTTCAACGCGCGTTCAAGTGATAAATAACTTTCCACGTCATATTCTTTAACTCGGTCATCTTCAATTTTTAGCATGGAAAAAAATCTTTCCGTGGCTAGCGTGTGAGCTGGATGTCGTTTTTATTGTTTGGTTTTGCTGGTTTTTATTGCCATTCTTCCTGCTTCTCATGTTACTTTCACACCCCTGTTGCTTATGTTTCATTTCTTTTAACAGTTCTTCATGTCGTCTCGAATGAGTTTGTCGTTCGGTATTTTTTCCCCTGTTAAGCACTTATGCATTCGTGTGTGCGTGCGTTCGATGTTTATGTGAATGTGTGTGTGTGGTGTGTGCGTGTGGTGTGTACGTATCTAGCATATATGTAGGATTGTATGTATGGATTTAATATACATGTATGTGTATGTGCGTGTATGTAGCAATATGTATATATGTAAGAACTTTCGTTTATTGCATATATGTATGTATGTATGTATGTATGTATGTGTATGTATGTATGTATGTATGTATGTATGTATGTATGTATGTATGTATGTATGTATGTATGTATGTATGTATGTATGTATGTATGTATGTATGTATGTATGTATGTATGTATGTATGTATGTATGTATGTATGTATGTATGTATGTATGTATGTATGTATGTATGTATGTATGTATGTATGTATGTA